CCTGGCTGTTTCCCAGCCTCTACCACCAGAGACCCCGCTGAGCTGAGCCCCCAGGGCAGCACCAACATCGCCCATCCTCACACAATCCCAGATTCCCCCACAAGGGTCCCAGGGCTGCCTGGCCCCAGAAGGGAGGCAGAAGTGCTTTCTCCTGCTAAGTGACCCTTCCAGAGGTATCCTCATGGACACCTCCCCCCCGTCAAAAACCACCTGCAGCCCCTGTGCCCACACTCACCTCCTACTGGGTGCAGCAGAATCTCAGCTGGGTTGTGGGGTTTCAGCCCCAGTGCTGAGAGCGGGGTCTTGGCCAGGCCGGGGGGAGAACGCACTGAGAGGACAGGGGAAATGAGCGTTAGCGGAGGGGTGAGAGGTGAAGCATCTGAAAGGCTGGAGCTGCCTAGGGGTGCAGAGTATCCATGACCCATCCCACCCACCAGCTGTAATTGAGGGCTGTGCTTGAGAGAAGCAACACCCCAGGGAAGGGCACCAAACCCCCTCTGCATCTGGGGACGCACAGAGGGCGGGAGGTGCCTGGGACAAACACTGTGCCCCATCATGAGGCCAGCAGGATAGAAAAAGGGGGCAATTCCCACCAGGGCAGGCCCAGACCCCATCTCCCAGCACTGTCCCCACAAGAGAATGGTCCCATCAAAGGCATTTCATTGCCCCTGTAAGAGCAGTTATCCCCCCAACCCAGCTCTCCCAAAACCTTAACTCCCTCTGCTGATCTCCATGTCCAGCTGAGTCATAACCGAACTGTCCCAGAGCAGCTCATCACGCCCATGAAAGGGGCAGTGGGACTGCAAAAACCCACAATCCCCCACCCTGCAGACCAGCTCAACAGGCAGGTGAAGATGTTCACACATAGCATGTTCCCTGAGGGGAGGCAATGCACACATGACGTCCATACCCCTGTGCCCATAGGTACATACCAGGAGGTATGTACATATGTACGTATAGCTATGGTATGGACGCACCGGCACTGTGGGGCAGCAGGGTTTCACAGAGCAGGGTGGACCTCCTCGAGTTGACTGCACCTCCTCTCCTCTCCTGTCCCCCAGGTTTGACCCATCTCCCTGATGCTGCATCTCCAGCAAGAGGAACCAGAGGACACATCCCTCCATCAGCATTTGAACATCCTCAACCTGTGGTACGGGGCCTGCAGCGAGGCTGGGAGGCAGCAGGTGGTGGGAGCTCCATAGGAAACCCAGACCCTCACCCTGAGGCCAGGCCCTTCCCTGCAGCCTGGGGCTGGAGCAGCCGAGCAGCCAAGTCTCTGGGAAACCGAGATGGCAGCGCCTTCCCTGGCGGGTGTTTGAGTTCCCCAAATCTGGTCAACCGCAAGCCACAATGTCAGCTCACGCCTCCATTGGCAGACGAGCAGTGGGGTCTTCCTGGGCCAGGAATTCCCCCAGGACTGCCATATCCCCATGGAGCGGAATTCCTCCTGCATGCCCCCCAGGTGCCACTTCGGTGAATCCTGCAAGCTGCAGCTTCAAACTTTCCAGGCCTTCTCGGCTGGAGCTGGCTAAGAAGCACTGCCTCGGGGCCACGTCCCCAGCCAGGTTGTTGCCGTCACCTCTGCAAGTGACTCATCCCCCAAAACGAGCCAGTGTCCCACTGCCAAGGAGCTGCTGCCGGGGGCCAAGTTCTCTGGGTCTTCTGGAACAACAGGGTCATTTCTGAGCTGCCAAATGCCCCAGGGATGCTCCCACACTCCAGTCACTGCATCTCACAAGACAGCGTTGAAACACCAGTGCCTTGCAAGAGAGTAACAGCAACAGCACAGGAGAAAACAGCCTCAAGCCCCATGGGCTGAGCTGCAGGGGGCAGAAAGACCCATTGCGACCAGGATGCAGTATCAGAGGGGGCTGCACCCAGCCCGAGCATCCTCAACCCTGGAACATCCCCCAGCCTTCAGCCTATAGAAGTGCTGGGGGCAGTGGGGATGGCTGCCATCTTTTTGGTGGGTTTCCCAGTTGACTGGCTGCTCCATTGCACTGATCCAGCCCGTGTCATCCTGTGCCGATGTGAGGCTGTTCACTGGGGTTCATCACTCAAGCCCCGGACACACAAACCCATCACAGCTGCGCAGGCAGGGTTAGTCAGGAAGGAGGCATGCCGAGGAGGAGCAGAGACAAGCTGCATGCAAAGGGCTGGCATCTCCCAGCCTTATCCCCTTCCTATCCTGGAAACTGTGAGCGAGCAAGAAGTGGCATAGTGTGTAAAAGCCTGCTCTGAACCCCTTCCTGGTCTTCAGCCCCCCCTGCCTCGCCCTGCTACCACAGCCTCGCTGCCTTTCTTGCCATGCTACTAGGGAAGATGGGGAGGTGCAAGACCAGGATGAGGTGAAAGGATGCCATCTTTGGACCCTGCTCTCTCCTTATGTCCCCTCAGGAACTCTTCAGACAAACGCCCAGCAAGTGGAAGGTGGGGAAAAGCCAACAGGAGGGTGTCAAGCATGAGATGCTGATGGCAGCATGGAGTGGTGGGATGTGAAGGAGGGGATGGAGATGAGGAGTGATTCATGTGGAGCTGGGTGTCTGGAGCCTGGAGCTGTCTGACCCTTGGCAAATTTCTGGCTTGCCAAGAGCCTCCCACCGAGCCCCTCTGCCTCCCGGAGCCGCAGCACTTACAGGAGTTGGAGTAAGGGGTTTGTGGTGAGACAGGGAAGGCTGGGGTTGGGGGAGAAATCTCACCGCCGCCGGAGGGTGGGCTGGTAGGGGAGGTACCTTCCATCTCTTCGAAGGCTTCCTTGTAGCTGTGGAGGTGAGGCTAGGGGAGAGCAGGAGAATGGGTCAGTCCCATTCATACGGTGGTCACAACCCTCCAGGACACCACCAAAAAAACCATCATTAACTCTCAGCCCTGCAGGATGCCAGGGATGCTAAAATTTCCATACTCCCTTCCAAGCCTTCTCCCTCCCCATAGGTGGCTGCACCCCATCAGCCACCCTTCCGACCCCAGCACCCTCTCCCACCCCGGCACACCTCTTTGGGCCTCCCTCCAGGGTTGGCCGCGATGGTGCTGACCACCTCGGGTGAGAGGACAGTGGGGCTGCGGGGAGAGCTGGGCTCCGGCGAGCTCTTCTCATAGTGGCTGTCGCTGGGGGTCCGCTTGTGGGCAGAGACAGTGACCTCCTCTGGGGGTTTCTCCTGGGACTGCACCCCTGCGGGGCAAGCACAGGGTGGGAGATGGGTGAGGAGGATATGGGGATCAGCAGGAGATGTTCCAGGGCTGATCTGGGAGGTCTCTCCAGAGCTGTGTGCTGCAGAGGAGGCTCTGCCCAGCAGAAATGGCAGCTTCGGCACTCACCTGCATCTAACCCTTGGAGCAGCACAGCCAGTTTTGAGGCAGAGCAGATACACCCTAAGCACAGGCCCCAGGCCAAGCACAAAAGCAACGCAGGGTTGTGGCTAGCGGCTGGATCACTGCATTAGCCCTCCCAAGCACCAACTCTTGAGCTTGGGGACACCATCCCCAGCACTGAGTGTGAGGGGCACAAGCATCCTGCAAGCAGCCCAGCCTTACAGAGCTGGGGAGGACCAGGACCTCCTGACAACATCACGGTGGGAAAGTGTTAAATTCTCCAGCACTGGGGTAGCCACATTCAGCTGCATCCCTGCTCCCACAGCTTGGATGTGTCTTCAACCACAGCAGCGGGAAAAGCCTGGGTTTTTTGAGTCTCCAAGCCAGAGGGAGCACCAGGTTGAGAAGAAAGACTCCAATAGAGGGATGGTCCAGGAAACCCCAACAAACCACTGCTGATCTCCTACACCCAGCACGGAGTCTTCCCAAAAGTGCAGATTAGCACCTTCTCTCCATCTCCCTCCAAACTTCGCTCCCAGACTCCATTGCCACAAGCCATCAGTGCTCACAGCCTGGGGCAGTGTCAAGGGGCTCCGAGACCCCAGGAGGAAGAAGTCACCATGGGAGAATGGGTTTCTCCAGCTGCTGGGGTCTGGTAGATCCTACTGGCAACCCCCATGTGCCAGGAATGGGTACAAAACCAATGCAGGGCAAGGGGGGGGGGGGGCTGGGAACCCCAACTCTCCCAGCCCAGCAGGGCTCAAGCACACTCTCCACCCCATCTCATCTGACAACGAGGTTAATTAGGGCGCAGGGACGATGGTCCTGTGTTGGGTGCAGAGGAACCATGCAAAAACACGGGCACAGCTCAGAGCCCCACGGGACTCCCACTCCTCACTGGGACCCCCTGTCTCAACCCCATCCCCTCCACCACTTCCGCAGAGCCAGGGAACACTCATGCTCCCCTCGGCCAGCACACTGGGGGAAATAAAAAAGAGAAAAGGGAAAAAGAAAAAGAAAAAGAAAAAAAAAACAAAAGAGAGGCCAGCCTCATGCTCCAGGAAATGCACTTTCCAAA